CTGGTGGCTGCCAACTCGCCGAAGGAGTCCCTTCAGCAAGTCCCTCTGGCGCCACAGAAGCTCTGCAGGCATCTTGCCCGCAAAAAATGCAGGGCCAATGCCCACAGCCCCTGGAGGCTCTTGGAGGCCTGGGGCCCCTTTTCTTGTGTATGCTCACAGACTAAAGGCCGCCATTTCTGCTCGCTATCTGCGCATGTTCGAGTTTGGCAGAGCAGAAATCTGCCTTCTTGGAAATGACGAAGAACAGAGTTTAGAGAAGGAAGTTTAGATTGATGCTATTCCAGCGCCAGCCGGACGCAGTATCCAGAACCCGGGCATCGGGCAGTCTTGGGCAAGACACGGCCAATTCTTGGAAGTTGAGTCCGGAGGTCGCCCAAGCGTTCCCCAAAACGGATGCAAGACACCCACCGGAATTCCAAAGCAATGCCCGACATTCGAGCCACAGCGCTACAGCCCCCGAGATCGCTCTTTTTTGTTTGGGCTGATGCTGTCGTGGACTGCATTTGATCGAGAGAGCGCACGCTCTTATGCAGTGCTCCTGGCTTGCCTTGGCTTGGTGCCGGCATGGTCCCTGAACAGCCGAGGTACAGGAGCCAAAAGCACTTTGGAAGGCTGCAACTGGTTCGGGCTTCAAGACTTAGTCCTAAATACCAGTCGCATTGAAATGCGGTAGTTTTGCGAGGAGGCAAACTTTCCCAAGCAAAAGCTGATTCGCTCTTGAAACTCTTGGTCTTTGAGACTCTGGAGCTTGAATTCTCAAGCCCGAATTTCGAAGGGCTCGAGAGTCTCGCCTCTGAGTCCGAGTTAGGATTAGCAGTTTGTTTCGTGATCACGGGGGCAGGATGCCATTGGGTGCCTGTGTCCCTTGTGGCAAGCTTTGGTTGAATCTGCTCACCGCCTTCCAGCCGTCTGATGGTACATGATGGTACGTGTACGTAAGGATACTTGTTGCTTCTTGGAAGAGGATGCATGTGTTCACGGGGGGATCGTGGGGCAGCAATCATTGGCACGCTTTTGATTGGGCGTTACGGGTCAGGGGCAGTTGTCAAAGCTAGAGTGGGCTGCTCTCCGGTCCAGCATACATGTTGTTTCATTGCCATGAGCATGCAAGCCCGTTCAGAAGGCCCCTGCTAGACAAGACGACACCGTACCAGAAGCTCAATGTCGCAGAGGAACGGGGTCGATCAGAGTGCCTGAGTTGACTGGCCATTGCTATCAGATGTGTGATGCCCGTGTGCTACCGCTACCGTCATCGATAATTGCTGAACATTACTGAGCAGTTCGGAGCGATAGACTGCAGGATTGCAGAGAAGCTGCTGCCAGCATCGCGCAAAGTCATGAGCAGAGAAAGACAAAGAGATGCTCGTGAATAAAGATGAAGCTACGCGTTCCGAATGTCGAGGAGCCCAGCTCAAGCTGCACTGCACTGTTTCTGGACGAGGCCCACAACCCCACAACCGTAACAAAAGGGATCATGCACAAAAAGGCCACGCAAGGGTCTAGGGTTACGTCGCTTCGATCTTCAGGAATTAAGCGATTCTGCCGTGCGCTCAGGAGCTCCAGCTCACGAACGTTTTCGGAGATTCTTAGCTTTCATAGAAGTTTTGTCACTGTCGGGCTGTGGTCTTCAGGCATTGGTACCTACTTAGTCTACTTGAAGGCGTCATCGCCTGATGCATTGTTCCGCTGCAACCTAGGGTCTTCAAGAGTGAACCACACTGTCACACGCAGTATACCCGTGCGGGTGGTCCTGCGCCCTCGTGCATGAAGGACGACGTCAGCAAGAGGATGGTAAAATCTGCGCACATACTGATGCGTTCACAAAAATAGATTAGGCATACCGCCGAGCCCAAACCGCTAAGCCTGACACAAGCTCCGAAACATTTTGCAGCCAAGGACTTCTACCACGAGGCATTGGTTCACCCGGCGATGGCCGCTTTGGGACGACGGGGACGATGCCTACAAAGCAGTCAGGTTTTCAGTGGCATGCTTCAGTCTCGAGATGTTGGCGTCCGGGTTACAGGCTTCAGAAAGGGTGCTGGGCAATTTAGATGCGAGCACCACAGCCTTGTCTGTTTGGAGTGGGCACCTCAGTAGCTGCAGACAGTCTCTGTTGAGGTCCGGTTATTCACGAGCAGAGGTGTTCAACGAATGGAAACTCTTGTCTGTCAGCTAGCTGGACCCTCGAGTGATATCCGATACCATGGGTGCTGCCAAACAGTTTCTGCTTGTTGGAACGTTTGGACTAACAGAGCTTCGGACTAGCTGTTGTCTGATTTAAATTTAAGTCAGTCGATAGCCTGTTTCAATGACACCCGATTCGAACTCAGACCCCACGGGGCTCTGCCACCTAGGCCGCGTTAGGCCCCTTGCAGTTTGGCTTTCAGTCTATCTGCGAACCGGTGGGGTTTGTGCTGGCACGCCATCATAGTCCAAGGACGGGTTCTCGTAATTGGAGCTGGCGACGGAGGCGTTGCCACTGCACTGCTCAGGCGCGCAGAAGCTACGGGCTTCTGGGGGTGCGCGGGTGGAGGTTAGGCCTAGGCAGTGCGCGGTAGTACACGAAATGGCTGCACATTTGCGGTTAGCTGGGTGGCTGGGAAAAAACTCGCAGGCGCCTGTCAATCTGAACGGCTCTTCTGAGAGATGTACATGTTGTAGCTGATTCGTTGTCGGTGACATCCAGGTAGCTCTCATGTTGTTTGCATGTCGGCATTGGGCACAGCAGAAGCCCAAAAGCCGCGTTCTCATAAGCCCAGGTTGTTGTAGACAGTTTTGTGCTTTTTGAAAAAATTCTTTGGAGCATGTTTTCTAATTGAAACGGGACCTTAAAATCTGCGCAGAGTTGGTTAAGTTCGGAGCTTCCGGCTTGCCGTTCGAAATGTTATTTTTAGTTTCGGCCGGGACTGTTTGACTGTTGGGCTTTGGGCACGTACTTGCGAAGCGATGCGAAGCGCATGCATCCTCACTAAACACAACCACCCTGAAAATGTAAGCTGGAGAGCCACATATGGGAGGCCCACGCTTCAGAGCGCCATCCAATATGCCATGAAATCGTAGAAAGTATCTACAAGACCCACCCGCCTTTCCTCCGCCCCCCTCTAAAATCGTGATCGCCAAAAATTTATGTGTCACAATGCCATAAATTTAGTGACAACGGCTGGGGGGTTCCAGAACTAGGTGGCTGGCATGGTCATGCTTCGTTTGAGATCTTTCAGGTATGAAAAACATTTCGCTACAGGTGTCAGATCGAGTCAGAAAAGCTACCATACGCATAACTTGCTGGTGCCAGTGTGATGATGATCCGAGGGCATTTGGTGTGGGCCCGTGCTCGACTGCCGCGAGCTTTAAATCATGATGCCAGCGAATTCCGGTATACAGGAATGTTGAAGCAGGTGAGACACCTGTTTCCCTACCCCGCCTCACCCTCCCCTCTTAAGGGAGAGGTCGACACGGAGCTTGCTCACAGTCTCTACGGCCAACACGAGCCGTGTCTAGCGTGTCGTGGCAGATCCGGGAATGCACAATCTGCCCTGAGACGATGAGGCCTCATCTAGCAAGTCTGAGATTGTGTCAGCGCAAATGGCAGCGACGCATAGTCGCATTCGGGCTCGGTGTTTGTCCCTGTAGAATAGTGTTTGTGCCAATCCGCTTGCCTTCGGGTCAGTGGCGCGCAAACCTTGTTTGGGCTTGGCCCGGCATGGTGTTACGGTTTGAAGAAGTAGAAAGGGGATGCAAGGGTCCACCCTGCAGGTACCCGCAAGTGGAGAAGGTCATTCAGGTTGAGATTGATGAGACTGTCCCAGAAGTGGCGCAGGAGTTCTTACCAGAGATTGCGGCGGGCTATCAGGCCGTAGGCTTGCTTGCCATCTCATGGCTTAGATGCAAAAGAGGTTGACCCTCGATTTTCAGTCGCAGAAGTCGGCTATACACTTAAATCTGCCCAAATGTTTGCAGTCTGCAAAACAATGGATCTAGCAACTCCGCCTGGATCGATGTGGCACACAAGGCCCTCCCACCTAATCCCAAGATAAAATTGAACACCCGTGCTTCCCGTAGTGCGGTACTGGAGGATCCGCGGCACGAGTTGGTCATCATGGATGGCGTGCTCTGGGTGGAGGCGAATCACGTCGAGATGAGAGGTAGTTTCGATTTATGCATCATCGACTCTACCGATGATCCGTTGGGAAGCCAGTGGTCCGTGAAGTTTTTCCATAACCTGCAGGCTTTAGTGGGTCCCCATGGCGCAGTCGTGCAGAACATCGGTAGTCAGATGGATGAGTTGGACGACTTCCGAAAGCTACATGTGGGATTTCAAAACTGCTACCTCATCAACTGCAACACCCCGGATTACCCATCGCCATACTTCATTGCTTTTTTGACGGAGAAGCTCAGTCCTCATGATGTCAATTGGACCTGGTGGACATCTTTGAACATTTCCTCGGTCTATTTCCACCCCACGATTCACGCCGCGCTTCTTTCAGCCCCTCGTGAGACGATTCAGCTTTACCTGGAAGGGATGGGCTGGCAGCCACACGATGCCAACAGGTGTCGCCATACATTGATCGACCGGCAGGGCTTGCAAAAGAAAGGTAGGGCCAACGAACTCTGAAATTTGTGCACTTCACCACCGACTCATTCGCAAGCCGCCGGATCATGTACCGAGAGCTGCAAACGAGGAGTGCTTACAGCTGTCTAGTTGGCAGATGCTCGGATGATCGCATTCTGGGAAGACAAGGCTGCAGCCGTCGTGTGAACTTGCCATGGTCTCTCAACCATGCTCGAACCATTGGAAAATGGGGCTGGTGAAGGCCAACGAGGATCTTCTGGACATGCAGCAGACATCAGTGCCGATTCCTCGTGCTGTCTCGGAGCGATGTGGAAGTCAGCAAAGATCTTCAACACCAGTTTGCCGCCAAGATGAAAATATGCCTGCCCCCTTGTTACTACGCGATGAAGCGTACCTTGGAATGTCTTTGTATGTAGATGCTCAGCACAAGGCCTCGAGGTTGCGCGATCGGTGAGAGCCGTCGGAGTCCCAGAATCAGAGCACTTTTTGCGGCTTGCGTTGCCAAGGCTGCCAAGGACGCACTGCAACCTTTCGTAGGAGGGTGGAATGAGGGATGGGCGATGTCGTGATAGATGATTTCTGAAGCTTCAGTACTACTCGCAAAAAAAGACTATCTCATTGAGTCCTTCAGCACACTACCCGACGATTTGTCAATGGGCAGATAGAAATCGTGTGTGGCTTGAGCGCTTGACTTCAGCACGCCGCAGTTGTGCCGTCTTTCGACCGTGCTTGTATAGTGGCACCCTAGCAGCATTTCCGACTGTGTTCCATGTGCAGATCATGCTCGTAGGAAGAGCTCTCTACACGTGGCGCATAGGCATGGGCAGATTCACTTAGGGACTTGTTTTTGCGAGGCACCAACACCCTATGGTCAGCCGGTAGCCCAGTCGCCTCGACTTGGAGCTCCAAAACATAGGTAGGATCTTTGTCTCTCACATTCCAGGACTGCTTTGCCAGGCAAAAGCATTCAAATTGGCATGGCCACACATAGTCATAATTGCGCACCAGCACGCAGGCGTGTCAAGGTGTAACGACAGGATCGAACTCAGTTTTCGCATGCGATGCCAGGCCGCTGGAGCAGCCCGTGTACAAAGATGACAAGCCTCTTGGCCGGAAAATCCTGAAGGCATGCAGTAAGTACAAGGGTTCTGCATCAGATAGAATCATGCTGTTCGGAAGCATGTTGTGATTTAGATTGAGGCCCTTTGTTCGGCATGTTCCATTTTCGGGCCTTTGCAGAGAACGAGTTGAGACAAGAATGCGTCTACCCAGAAGGTACACATCGCGATATCAGCGCTTTGCTGCCGTAGTCGCACGCTTCCGGTCGGAACCTGCAGCTAAGGCAAGGCGTCAACGCATTTGCTGTCCGGCCAATTGCCGAGCACTTTTGTTTACGAGGGTCTTGTGGGTTCTGTACTGAAACAGCTATGTGGCACTGTAGCCTCTGCTGTGCTCTGAGAAACATGCCTACTCAGCGACGAGGTGCAGGTGCTCAATGTCCCGTTCGAGGGTGCAGCCTAGCGATAGCGATCTGTAATTTCACACGAGTTCGCATTATAGGTCTTGTTTTGCTCGGAAAGTTGATCACACCAAACTACTCATGAAATCCTGGTGCTAGCCCTAGCCGCTTGCTCGCTGTAGTTGGGAGTCGTGGTTAACAAACCGCTATCAGTAAGTGTTTGGGCGAAAGCCGCATGTTTCCGCATGTTCAGTTGGACACCTTGTACTGCATACTGCTGTTTATACCGCTTCAGATTTGAGTCCTTTATCGATACCACTGCGCATGAAGGCCCGACCTTCGTTTGGTGGCCGCCGCACGTTGGGACCTTGGCCTACAAACCGGACGTAAAAGGCTTCAAAGATTGCAAGTTTTTTTTGCACGGGCAGGGTCCAAATTCTGGTCCCGTTTGCACCAACCTTTTCAGAGGCGCTTATGGCTTTACGGCTGGGCTTGTGTACAACCGATGTCCAAGAAGCTCTATTTTTGGCAACATGCGAGACTGTCCGGTAGAGAGGAGTGTTATCCATCCGCGCAAGGGAGTTCGAGGAATGTATTCGGCGTATTTCCGTGGCGCTTGGAATGGGGAAGAATTCATGGTCACTATGAGATTGTACTGGTGGCGCATCCGAGCGGAGATAACTAATTCTTTGAGAGGCTTTCACAAGGCAGGATTCGGCCTATTCGGGCCCCCTGGTATGGCGGTACGCTGCCGATGGAAGGAAAGTAGCCTGCGCTTCAAGGGACTCGGGGTGCCGGTATAGATGTCCCAATAGATTGAGGCGATTTGGAGAGTACAACTGGGAAGGAGAAATAACCATGAAAGAACCCTTCGAGATGAAAAAGCTAAGTCTGCAAGAGACTGATTAGAGTTGAGCTGTAGTAGGGTTAACTACCCGATGGTTTGAAGAGGATTTGATTTTCAAGATGCGGCACAAGCGTTTGAAGTGAAAGGGGTTCATTTTGGTAAGTTGGGAGGGGGTAAGGAGAAGACCGTCCATAGCGTATAACAAAATAGACTGGACCACATACCTATACACCAGTAGCTTCCAATTGGGAGGGACGAGTCCATGCTTCATCAACGGAGACAACTTTTTTGAAGCTTCCATTGCTCTAGAGATCCGAGTAGAGACTTTTTTGATAGTTGGTGTAGGGTCCAGATATACCCCAAGATACTTCACCGCGTCTGAGAGGGGTACATGTAAATCATCTACCGGTGCTTATAAGAATTGTGGATCAAAGGGACAGACTTCGTTGAGTTCAGGCGTACATGATCACATATCGTAATTGAGATAGAGGCCTCGACGGGCTCCTTCCCGCTGTACTGAGAGAATCGAGTTGGTAAGAGGAGTTGGACAATAGCATTGTGTCGTCTGCATATTCCAGGTCCCACAGGGGGGTGCCCAAACGGAGCACTCCAGATATTAGGCCGTGCATGTGTTCTTTTTGCCACATCTGAGATGAGTCAAAACCAAGCTAAAGAGATGTGGGGAAAGAGGACAGCCCTGGCGAAGGCCACGGGTTTGGGCGGATTTAGATGAGGATTGTTCACCATCTCTGACTACAAAGCTGGGGTTTGGATAAAGAGATAGAATTGAATCGCCTGTTGGAGAGGGGGGGGGTGGGACTCCCATGTACGCAAGAGCGGCCGCAGTGGCCGAAAACGTGACGGCCCAATCCAAGAAAATCGCGTGGAAGGGCTCAGTTTGGCGTTCATGAACTTCAAGTAACCTGCGGAGGACTGGGTGACTGAGCGGCCGGGACGAAAGCCAAATTGAGTGTGATGCAGCCTGTTGTGAAAATTGGTGGCAAGTCTTTGTTTGGATAAGAGAAGCTTAGACTTTATACATCGTATTGGTCAAAGAGATAGGGCGGTAATTGGACAAGAGTAAGCCTCGCCACGGGGGCAGCAGTGATTATAATGGTCCAAAAGACAGAGACCATGGTAAACGGTCGGGCGGATTCGGGTAGAGAATCGAGAAGTGGAGAAGAGGGGAACTCTTCGGAAGAAGGAGCCTTTCCAGACCTGGTTTGACAGGTAATCGGCAAAAGTTTCAGCTCTAGCGTGGCGAGCGACTAGCTTCCTTTTTGGTAGCCAGGAGATTCGTAGGTCTGGGGTGCCTGGCGATTTGCAGGCCAGGCTGGAAGCGTTCTGCATCACTTCGGCGGGTTCAGAACATTGGCGGAACTGGTTCTGCACCATGTCGGACGGTTCAGATCCGGTTTGGAACTGTTCGGAACCGGGCCGAAGTAGTTCAGAAAAGCTTGAAATCGATGTGGCCTGGCGGTGGAACCGAACTGCTCTGAAGCAGTTCCGGGTTCTCAAAAGCACGGACCCGATCGCGAACCGTGCCGAAACTGTTCCGAAAGGTTTGGAATGATTCCGACTGCCGGAAGCCGTGTCCACGAACCCGCCAGTTTCAAATTTAGAGATATTTGGAGCCACGGATGTACCTGCTTTTCCCCGCACCCCCCGTAAACTCAGGAGATATGATCAAGATTCAAGATCAGAAGTTGGAGATTCGGCGGTTAGGCGGCTACACGTATTGATCTAGCTTCTCCGGGGCTCGTGAGACAGCACAGCCCATCCTCGGCGCTTGCGGATGCCCGCTGCGGTCCTTCGGGGGCACCTCTGAACAGTTGAGACATCTCGTTTGGGACTGTGACTTCGACTGAAACCTTTGATGACAGACCCTGCAGAATCGAGGCTGGGATCGACGCGTCGAGCTCTTTGATGCCAAGCTTGCATCTCAAGACATGTCCTGGCACGCTGGCGATAAGTTATTCAGCTTGTGATTTCAACATCGGGTAGCTGCTTTTGTCGATGGAGCTTCTCCTACTCTGCAATCGGAAAACAATAGAATTCAATACAAGACCGAAGACAGACAGACAGAAAGACACGGACAAGGACGCGAGCACAAACACGAAGAAATACACAGAGACCAAAGACCGGCCTCAACTAAGACATCACGCTTTCTGCACGGAAAATTGACGCCCCGGGTGGTTAGTAAGTGCTTGTGCATCAAGGACAGCCACTTCTCTCGGGCGCCTGGCATGTCACGATGGGGGTGCATTGGGCTCAGCTTTGAACCCATACCATGGAAGACAGATTCCAGAAACTAATTATTCGGTGTTCGAGGTGCTTTGTGTTTCCTTCGACCGCCAGCGGGGTGCTCTCGCTGCAGGGGGCGAGGATGGCCGCCACTGGGACAGCAGAGGGTTGGGGACTTTGGACCATGGGTGTGAAGGAGGTAACAGAGGCAATTACTGCAGGGGGCGCCTTGATTCGTCAACATAGCTTGTGGCGCATGTTGCTTGTGACATATGCCGAGGAATTGCAGTTTGGGGCCTTTTCAGCGAGACTTACGAGGGGCACGCGCCTCAAAACGGATTTGGGTCCTGCCACACCAGTTCTCTTACACGATACTGCAGGGTTTTCAGTGCAAAAACCCAGCACAATATTTTCGTTCAGGCCTTTTTCGTCGGCAGCTGCACAGGCCGGGGTAGAAATCCAGGCATCACGTGTGCAGTGCCTCTGCCATTTGCGGGGCGTATGGCCGCTATGCAAACCCCTCGTCCAAAGCCCCAACTTTGGAAGGTACTTGGGCAACAAAGCCAGGAAAAGCCTCCAGCCGAAGGAATGGAAAATTGTGCTGCCGGCTTCAGTTTGGACGTTTGGACTGAGTCTGGGTCCCGTGCGATTGCTTCTTGCGGAGTTCTGCGGGTGACAGTGGTGCTTTGAGCCCAAGGGCCGAAAGGGGCTTGAGTCAAGGCTGCCTTTTTTGAGCTTCTATGGCGATAGGTTGAGTTGGCATGGCGCAGCCAAGCCAGCAAAGCAAGCCTACGCTGTGCAGCAGTGACGCACAACCTAAAGCATATCAACATCAAATGTGTTTGTTTCAGGTACTGAGACGTTCCCCACAGGGCTTGGAAGCATGACTTAACATGCGTTTGCCAGGTTAATTCTTCACCAGCTGCCCTGTATGCCTCAATACGCAAGGCTAGACACGGCAAATGTTGTCAGGTCACAGATGTTCGTTAGAAAAGCGCCGATCTGCTCAAGCAGCAGCAAGCCGCACTGCTCGTAGAGTCACACTCAGCTTCCGACCTTCCACAGCAGTAACATCAATAAGCAGCAAGGAGCTTTCTTTTCGGCATGCGGCTCGTCTAGCAACGCGATCGGGGTTTGCGCACATACTCGTTTGTTACGTACGTGGGTAAGTGTGTGTGTGTGTATATATATATATATGTGGTACCTTTCCACGTTTCCATGGATCTAACTGATCACCAATTTGCTGTTTGGCAGCATCTGGCAGGAGGCTTTTGGTGATGAAAGAGGGTCAGAGTCGGTCAGAGAAGCTTGAATAGTATGAGAGAGACCCTGCATCACAACGCACTGGTCTTCCAACTCTGCAACAATATTCCCAGTAGGCCCTGAAAACATTGGTTGTTTCGGAACCTCTAGATACGTTGGACTTCCACCATCACAAATTCTCGGGAGGTCGCTAAAATCCCAGTCTTTGGAAGCCGAATCCATCGAGAGGTCCCTAAAAACAAACCCATTCTCCAGCTCTATTCCCAGGAAGCTCTGAAAACAGTGGTGTTTTCGGGACCCATCCATGATCTGGGCTTTCCATTGCTTTCCATCATCACAAAGTATCGAGAGGTCACTTCACTTAAAAGCCTATCTTTGGAAGCCGATCCATCGAGAGTTCCTTAAACAACTTAAAGAACCTACTCTCCAGCTTTTTTCCCCAAGGGAGGCTCTGAAAAGCTTGGGTTTTAAGGGACCCCTCCATACTTTGGGTGTTCCATCATTTCAAAGTTTGTAGAAGTCGCTAAAAAACCCCAGTCCTTGCAGATCCGCAATGGAGCCGGAGAATGTGTGTTTTGGGTGTTTGTTAAGGGACCTCTCGATGTATTCCTCTTCAACAGATTGGCTTTTTGATGGACCTATCGACACTTTCCGCCTGGCGACCTTCATGAAGTGCAGAGGTCCCCCAAAAAGCCAATCTTTATCAGAGCCTCTGTCTGAATGGAGCTGGAGAACAGTGACAGGTTAAAAGGAGACCTCTCGATGGATTCGCCTTCCAGCGACTGTTTTTTTGGGACCTCCCGATACGTCCGGTTTGAGGTGGTCACCCTCGAAACAGCTTTGTAATTCTAGCTTGCTGTGAGTATTACGAATTGGATTGGTATACCTCTTTGTTCTTGATTTAAGTACGCATCTACGCATGCGGAGATTCACCTGTGTTACAGAAATGAAGCATGCCTACCAAGGAGAGACTCAAACTGCGCTGCGTGTGTGCTGACAGCTCGTGTAGTATGATGCTCATCATATCGCGAAAACGATTGAAGAACAAAGGTGTGACGGATGCACATGAGCAGGTGAGTACTGACACATCTTGGCCAAAGAAGCTGGCTGGTATCATTGTCTTGTGATCCCAATGCGGCAGCCAGTTTTGGTTTGCAACCCGGCTTGTGTTGTGCATTTGGTTGGAACGTGCGTCCAGCCTTCAAATCAAGCACAAGTCCCACCAGCTGTTCTGACAACCAGGCTGACTAAAGCCGGACATCTGATGATTGGAACCTGCACAAGATTATTGCATGTAAAGCACATAATCTTGCGAGAATTATGACACATATTGACGCACAAACAGGATGTGATCATGCTTTGCTTCTTGGAACGCGCGGCCGCGCGGCCTCAACACGAAGATGTTCACTGTATATATGTTCTGCCATACATTTTTGCTACGGGGGAATTGAGATTTGGACTGGGATAGCTTTTTAACAAAACATATTCTCAAACTTCTGACTCTGTCACATGTACCCGGTTCTGCACAAGTTTTGGTGTTCTTGGAACAACCAAAGAGAGACTCCTCAACCAAAGAGAGACGGTTTATCGCTTCAATGGCATAATGCGTGAAGGGTGACGAAGACATGACGGATAAGGACAAGGATTACACCGACTTCCCGATATGTCGTGGTGAGGTCAGTGCAGTTGCATAGATGTCGCTCATGTTGAGCATGCGGCAAAATTCGCCAGTTCTGCCCAGTATGTATTATATATATATGTGAAAAAGGCCGAATTTGGATGAAACGAATATGTGAACCAAGAAACAATTTCTTGAACTGTCTTGAACTCCAAGACGTTAAGTCGCCCAAACACTTGGTTTGAACTACATCGGTTTCCCATACATCCGTAACAACTACGAACTGCATTATCCTGCTGTGTACTGTATCATCAGGAGAGACTCTCGTTTTCTTTTGAAGCTAACCATTTGATAAATCAATTCATTGCACTAGTTCAAACTCGTCAAACCAACGAAAATACAGGGTTAGCATGTTGTACAACTATAACACTATAACATAAGGTTTGAATCAATGAAAGGTGTGAGAGTTCAATCGCTTACGCTCACGGATACAAGCTTTGCTATTTGCCGTCTTGGAGATCGGTCTTGAATAAACGTAACTCAACATACTAGCTGCCTGCTGCATTGTCTGCAAAGAGCACGCCAGATGGGTCAGCAGGTGGGCAAGGAGATAGGAAAGCAACTCTTTTGGAACTTGGCCTTCCTTCACTTTGTCCTTAAAATGTCGCCATCTGACAACTCCACGCACACGCCACTTCCGCTTCGTTTCATACACGCGCATCAAGTGTGTTTGGCTTCACAAAGACGAAAACGGTAGATCCATGAGGGGGACGTAACATATACGTATACATAGATATACACACACACTTTCACAATACGTGTGTGTGTATGTGTATATATATATATATTCACACACACATATATATATACAAATATACATGCACGGATGCACACATACATACATGTATATATCTGTGTATGTGTATCTATACACACATATGTACGTATGTATGTATTGGCATATGTATGTAGGTTTGTTTGTATGTACATATGTACGTTTGTATACATGCATCTGTTTGTTTATTTCAATGCTTGATTTTTCCAATTGTATTCGTTTAATTGGTTGTTTATACGTAGATACTAGTTTGCGCGTTTGTCTGTCCGCGTGTGCGCATTAATAGCGCCCATAAGCATACTTCAATGGGTTCCGTCATGGTGGCTACCTGAACCGGAGCGAATCCAAACTCCCCTTACTGCGCGAGCAAGGCAGCACGATCCCAAACTTGGATAATTTGCATGCTCGACGCAAGCCCAGTCCGTCATGGACACCGTCTCGTTTCAGCTTCAAGTTTCTTCCAAGTGCTTTCGAGCCTCTACATTTTGCGGAGCGTCCATGCAGAGCTTAATGAACGCGCGCTCTGCTTTAGCCTTGAGCTGCTGCAGCTGTGTGCGGCACACCTCTCGCATCTCCTGGCTCAGGCAGTATTTTGGCGACACGGTGTGTTGAAGGTGCGAAGCTGGCCTTATCAATGCCTCAATAACTTACATTATCGTGCAGCTGCAGTGCGACTTGCAGCCAGCTAGGCATACATGCAAGAACAGGTACTGCAAGGATTATGAAATAGCAGAGCCAAAAAGGAAGCTGCGAAGCAAAGCATGGCCACGAAACTAGGCTGGCTCCTTCTGGTGGCAGCCGTGTGCTCCACCTCTGGTCAGACCACTGACGTGAGCACAAAGCCATCCAAGAGCCGCCTTGGCGGCAGCACAGAGCTTGGAAAAGCGAATCCGTCTTCCTTAGACATATGTAAATGCAAACCTGTGTGAATACCGTAAGCTTGCACAGGGCGGCAGCACACGATTCACATACTACTGGCATGCTACACTCTCAAAAGTCGAGCCGAGAGCCATGCACATCTGTAGCAGTTGCACCCCTGGACATTCAGCACCCCAAAAAGCAACTACCACAAATGTTGGGAGTGCCCTGCTTGGGCTTGAAACAGGAAGGAGCAAGGTGGCGCATGGCCGTGATGGCGACCACACAACCTTTCGATTTCTTGCCGTTTGATTGGTTGCATGGTTGGGATGCGTCGCAGGGCAGGATGCGAAAGACGAAAGGCGTAAGACAGGACAAGACCGAATTATGAGCAAACGGCCTTCATTCTACGGTTTGAAATAATCTGTGGGCTACTTCTTACATACTATTGTCGACCAGCCGAGGTTCGGTCACCAAGCAGGTTGGCTTGCCGAAGCTCATGCACACACGAAGTGTTATGTGACAATACCCAGCATGATCCTGCGGGAATATGCCGGAATTCCAGTAAAGGGCCGAGGCCTGCTTAGAATTTCGATCTGTAGGGGGAGAATGCTACACAGGTCCGTGATGTGCTCAGAGTGTTTATCGTGGCTTTGCAATTCCGTAGAGTTGGCAGATGTTGACAGGTGAACTGCGCATTTGACATCTACGGTATCCTGCTGGCAGCTGGAAAGGCGGGGAAGGCCTTCTACTCCACGCAGAAGAAGTGCCAAAAGCAGGCACGGCGAGAGCACCCTTAGAGCAAAATCGCATGGGGCAACTGGATGGTGGTCCAAAGGGTCCGCCGTTTCCACCTGCCACAAGCATGCAGCATCGAGGGTGGAGGTCTGTTGATTGCGGCAAAGTCGGACTAAATGCGCTCCTCGAAGATCCTGCCCCACAGGGCTTGTGGCTTTGACGGCACATTGACGGCTCCACATCGGGAGCGATCAACACAAATGTCATGCTTGGAGTCCTGTTGTGCTGTTGCCTTTTCACGAGTATTTGCATGTCGTTCGCGGCGGGGCCCGCATAAATCAAGAGACGCGTGTTTCGCTACAAAAAACTCAAGTCGCAGCAGTTGATGACGGTTTGGGCGGGGTCCGAGGAAGGCTCCAACTGCAGGTGTTCCCCAAGAATAGCCCAGAAAACCCCAATAACTCTCCGCGAGCAGAGCCGAGCCGCCAAACGTCCATGCGTGCGTGAACGTCATTTGGCAGGACACTGAAGAAGAGAAGCGCAGTTGTGCATCGGCCGTCCAAGGGCAAATTGGTCGCAAGTGGACAGCGCACAAGATCAATCACAGCAACCCAGTCTTTTTTCTAAGTGCGCAAAGGATACGGTAGCGGGTTCTCCGCCCACTGTCAAGGCTCGTGGCCTCTTTGGGCTTCGTGGCATCCTTTACATCCGGTTCGGCAAACGCTTGCGCCGCGAGCTTGAATGCACCTGAAGCTGCAACTCTTTCAAAAAAACATGTCGTTTGAACGTACTTAGCAGGACATCTTTGATGCACGGCAAGCTCCGCAGGTTGACCTTCAACTGTAGGTCCACAAGTCATATCGCTGCGCTGGTGCCGCACTCTACTTAAGCCCTAAACCCTAGTCCTTTTGTCTTGGGGTGTCTTGGGCGCCATGAGGCACCTGCGATTTGCTCTGCGGCGGCTTCGGTTTTTGTGTCTGTCCTGTCCATCATGGGCGGAGCCTTCTCGAGCTTTAAGTCTGCATGCGCCGAAGATGAACAGGAGGAGCGTTTGCTCGCACCGCTTTGTGTTCGATGTCAGTGGTACGGGAGAAGCCAGCACTTGTAGTAATTGTAGCAGGTAGTCGTAGCACAAGCAGCAGCAAGAGTAGTGCTAGCGGCAGCAGCCGGGGATAGTAGCAGTAGTATTAGTAGTAGTAGTAGTAGTAGTAGCAGTAGTAGTAGTAGTAGTAGTTGTTGTTGTTGTTGTTGCTGTCGTTGTTGTCAACTGTTGTGAGTGGTTGTTGTTGTGCTAGCAGGAGGAGTAGTAGTAGAGGTGGTAGTTGTAGTAGTACTTAGCAGTTGGAGTCGTGGTGGTAGTAGTCGTAGAAGCTGCCGTAGTAGAAGTAGTAGTAGTAGTAGTAGTAGTAGTGGTGGTGGTTCGTCGTCTAGTGTAGTAATGCAGCATTGTGGTGGTGTGTAGTGTGTTGTGACGATAAGATCCTTGCGATGTCAGGCAAACGGCTGCACATGCCAGCCCTGCTGTGAAAGGCAAGCTCGAAGATGCTGCTTTCGCGCGAAGACGGCACAGAAGACAGCTAGACTTGATTCCGGACTTTCGAGGGCCGGAATCCTTCAAGCCAGCCTCGAAACTCATCTCGTAGGTGAGTACAATGCCTGCAATCAGTTCGGTAGCACTACAACAGATATGCTCGTCTTTGTTGGTCTGCTTGTTGATCTCGGGTGGCCCTGATTCTAGCATCCACTCTGTGAGATGGCTTTGGCTTGACAGGGCTCCCAAGCGAGCATCAAGTCCTTTGCAGCGGCAGGGCAAAAATTAAACAACGGAGCGAGATGCAACTTGGGAGCTGTCTGTTATTAATTACACGGAACCTTGTTTGCGCACTTTCTCCGACCAGGCCGCGGTGCACAAAATTCAGCGAAAACCTTGCTCGCAAAAACTGTGCACCCACAGGCTAGCCATCGCATCATTCGTTGTAGCTGCGTGTGTCCCGAAGCTGGAACAGTTTTGGTATTTCTTCGTGTGTAATCGCTCTTTGGCAAACCGCTTGCTGGGTGTAGCAAGTTTTCGAAAGGCTTGGTACACTGTTCTGTCCAGTGGACTCTCCTCCTACCGGGCCTGAGGCCTGCTCCACCGTTCCTCCCCTGTACTGAAAAGTATGCGTAAAGCAGCAGTTCCGTTCTATACAGGTCGGATGGGATCGAAGGATGTGCCCAAAAAGCTTCAGTTGTGCTTTGTGGATGTGGTGTGTAGGGGGGGCTGCTCTGTGAGGAATCTGACCTCCTGATGGGTGTATGTGCGAGCCGAGGGCTGTAAAACCTCTGTGTAGTAGGTGCTTTTGAGGTGTAGGATTTTGCGAAGGCTCTGTGAGTGGATGCTTCGATTCTGTTGTAGTCGCTGGTGGTCAGGGCGGCCGATTCCAGCCCGTAAGTGACGAGTGGTATGAAAACGGCGTTGTATATTCTGAGCTTCCACTTGAGTGTGAGGTCTGAGTTGCGCCAGCACTGGTGAAGCGTGTGGAAGTGCTTGCGGGCCTTCGCAAGGCTTGTTGTGATGTCTTTGCGGGTGGAGCCGTCGCTGCTGAGGGTAACGCCACGGTACTTGGCGTGCTGCTCGATAGTGACTGGCGTGCCGTCTGTGAATGTAATGGTATTGTGTGAGGTGGGTGGGGGAGCTTAAAAGAACGCATTTCTTGAGGTTTAAGTGCAAGTTGCTGCGAGAGGCGACGCGCTGCAAAGTGTGGAGCAGTTGTTCTGCTCTTGGTATCATCCGCATAGGCTAAATCATAGAATGGTTGGTTCTGGCTGTGCAGCCACGGGAGAAATTCTCCGTTTGCTGTCAGGGCTGCGTCCACGTCGTGCATGATCATCCCAGACCACCAAATCAGGTATGGGGAAAGTGGGCATCCCTGCCTGATGCCAAAGTGCGCTTCCTCTTGGCTGCTGCTGCGCCCTGCTGCTGCTGCTGCTGCTGCTGCTGTGAATTGTGGGGAGGTGTAGATGTTTTTGATGAGTGCTGTGAAGTGTGGTACGCCGTATGTTGGTGTACAGCGACTGCCCGGTGGCTTCTGCTCTCTCTATGAGACGGCGAATAATGTGGATCGGCTGTGCGGTGGACCGTGTTGCTCTGAAACCGAACTGGGTGTCTCTGAGTCTGTCATCGATCGCTGCCTGCAGCCTGTTGTGAATGATTTTGGCAAAAAGCTTGTACAATGTGCTAAGTAGGGACATGGGTCTGTAGCTCGCCGGGTCTGTGAGTGGACCCTTGCCTTTGTATATTTCTACGACTATTGCTGCGTGCCAGTCGTCCGGTATGGTGGCTGTGAGAAGTGATTGGTTGAGGACTCTGAGGAGTGCCTGTTGGTTGTGTTGGTCCAGCCATTGCCAGGCTTCGGCGGGGAGGGTGTCTGGGCCTGGTGCTTTGTTGTGTGCCAGCTGCTTGAGGGCTGCTTGGAGGGTTTGGCTGGTGGGCTTGCCCTGTGAGTCCCGTATTGAGACCGGCCTGGGCTTGTAGTCGGAGCGAGCTCTTTTGATCCACCTCCACTTTTGGCGTGGGTCCACGGTGGCCTCGCTTTCGGCTAAGAGGTCTTTTAGCCACTGTGTTTTGTCTTTGCGGGCTTGCTGGCGGATGGCTTTGTGGAGTCTTTGTTTCTTCGTCCGTCCTCTGTGAGGCGCGGGCTGCGGAGCGTTGTTGTATGAGGGCTCATGTATCCTGAGAGATCCATGTGTGCTTGGGTACCGAGTGGGTGGTGGGGATGTGGTCGATGATTGCTTGCTTTGTGGCCTGCTGTAGCTGTTGCCAAAGCTCGTGAGGTTGTGATTGGAGTGGTGTCTGTGAGTAGTCTGTGTCGGTGGTCTCTTGGAGCTCTTGCTTGTGGACGTGCTCGTTGAAGGCTTGTATCTGTGATGCAGTGGGTTGTCTGGTGTGTCGCGGCTTGGGGGGTGTGCGCTTGGCGTCCTTGGTTTTGAGCAGCAGGTCGACCTTGACCAAAAAGATCCAAAAAGTGGTTGCTGTTGAGCGCTGCTCCTTGATGGCATGGTCGAGTTGAACCATGTCTCCGTTGGGGCGCTTGTGGGTGTGTCTTTGTCCATCCAAATTTGTGGAAGGCAGTAGTCCTGTGAGGAAAGGAGGTCGTGGAATTGCCGTTGGTTTGTGTCTCCTTCCTCTGTGTTGTCTGTTTCGTTTTCCTCCGCCGTCTTGCCTGGTATAAAGTGGGGGCCCGCTGCGTGAGGCAGGGCCGCTAGCTCATCCAGCGTCGCGTTGAAGTCGCCGACCACCAAAAGTGGCGTGCGTTCTCTGTGTGATGTGAGGTGTTGTGT